ATTTATAACGTTTCAACAAACAAGAAATTCAATCAGTTAGAACTAAATTTTTGAAATTTCCAATCCTTCCTAAAGTTAAAGTTCACTTGAAAAATTTAAATGAAAAATACCCTTCATAAGAATTTATTTAAACAACATTCAAATTCGAAATGGAGACATGACAGTTTTGTAAATCATCAGAATCAACTGACCATTTGTTTTTTGAATGTGAGATTTCACATAGATTTTGGAATTAAATACACAACTGGTTAATCACCAAGTCTCTCCAAATAAGTCCCTTTTCCTGGAAAGACATTAAATATGGAATATCAATTAAAAGATTAATATTTGACAAGTAATATCACATTGTTTGCTAAATGTTATATTCACAAATTTTCACAGAATCTCTTCCAATTAATAAAGCATTGAAAAATGAATTTAATCTGAATTAAAACCATATTCATTTTATTATTGTTTTATTTTTATTTATTTTCCCTTAGTTGAAATATTTATTGTTGATGTTGTTTTTTGTTATTTTTGTTTGATTTACTTTTACTAAAGATTTCTAAGTCAGTTGGTTACTTAGTTGATATTCATGGTGATCTCTTAAACTTTTCATAATTTGATGTTAAGGAGGAATTATATAGAATAGATCATTTGAATAGTTAATTAAATTAGATAATTGCATCTGCAGTGATGCGGGCGTTGTACCGGTCTGTGGTGGTGAAGAGAGAGCTGAGCCAGAAGGTAAAGCGCTTGGTTTAACGGTTGGTCTACGTTCCTACCCTCATCTATGGTCACGAGCTTTGGGTAGTGACTGAAAGAACGGGATCGTGGATACAAGCGGCCGAAATGAGTTTCCTCTGCAGGGTGTCTGGGCTCTCCCTTATAGGGTGAGAAGCTCAGTCATCCAGGAGGGACTCAGAGTAGAACCGCTGCTCCTCCACGTCGAGAGGAGCCAGTTGAGGTGGCTCGGGCATCTGGTTGGGATGTCTCCTGGACACCTCCCTGGTGAGGTGTTCTGGGCACGTCCCACTGGGAGGGGGTCCAGAGGAAGATCCAGGACACACTGGAGGGACTATGTTTCTCGGCTGGCCTTTGAACGCCTTGGGATTCCCCCGGAGGAGCTGGTCTAAGAGGGTGGAGAAAGGGAAGTCTGGGTCTCTCTGCTTAGGCTGCTGCCCCCATGACCCGATCCTGGATAAGCKGCAGAAAATGGACGGACGGACGGATAATTAAAAGATATATAAATGTGAAATGGTCATTAACATATGTATGTTTATTTTTTGTCTTTGTTCTGTTATATTGGTTCAATAAAAAAAATGCCATGTTGGATGTTGCAGTTACAACGCAGAGACGCAAGCTGATGGTGTAATCTGTACACTTGTAACCTGCACACTCGAACACTGTGCACTTCGACTGAATCCACACTTCACAGAGGGGTGTAGGGTGCTCACTGAGCATTGGGACTGGGCCAGACTCACAGAGTRAAATATTATATTGATGCTCTGAAAGAAATGGTTTAATCTTGGCCCGTTATCTTAGGTGATAAAAGCTGGACTTGATTACTGATTTAATCTGTTTTTGCACTCTCAGGCCAACATTGTAAATAAGAAACTGTTCTTAATGATTTGCCTGGTGAAATAAAGGTTAAATAAAAACAAAATCCCTGATTGAGCTGAAGGTTTTAATGTATAAATAGTTAAAATGGACAGTGAAAAAAGTATGCAAAAGCAGTTTGATAAAAACATATGGATAAGTAAGAAAATACGAGTTTCTTCAGACTATTAAATGTTATGATTTCAAATCCTTTACTCCTGAAGTGTCCAACTGAGGTTACAGTTAGTGAAAAGTTACAGTTAGTGTGATCCTTTTGGTATTCACTCACTCGGTATTATTAGACGATGTTAAATGTAAATATGATTATATTTTCTCCCAGGKATCACCACGGTGCTGACCATGACCACCATCAACACCCACCTGAGAGAAACGCTCCCTAAGATCCCCTACGTCAAAGCTATAGACATGTACTTGATGGGCTGCTTCGTCTTCGTCTTCCTGGCTCTGCTGGAGTACGCTTTTGTCAACTACATCTTCTTTGGCCGAGGCCCTCAGATGCAGAAGAAACTGGCTGAGAAGGCTCTGAAGGCCAACAATGAGCGCAGTAGATTCGACAGGCCAAAGGTGAGTTGGCAAAATCATCAAATAATCACACGATTTAAAGTGATTACAGAAGCAGTGGTTTATAATTAGTCAGTTTTTACTTTTAATTTGTGTTTATTTGTGATTTCCACTCATTTGTCATAAAAAAAGCATTTAGGTCTGTTTTTTTGTGTCTTGTTTGTTTCTCAGTTTTGTTTCTCATTATGTTGAAAATAAAATTGAAATGTTCATAAAAAAAACAAATACCATTTTAAATATAAAGTTGACACCATGAGAACAAGATTGTTATTCCGTGACTAAACAAGCTTCTGCACAAAAAACACAGAAATACATTTTTGTTTTTTTCTACTTACAGCTCATATTTTAAAAAGTTAGCTTGTGAACAATGGCATCATCTCCAAGTTTTCAGTATTGCTGACTATATTAGTCTTAACTAATTGTTATAATTCAGCTGAGGAGTAACAACAACTGGAATAACATCAGCACATTTGATCAAAAATTAGTAACACTAAATAAGATTTTATAATGTACATGATATATTTTTAAACATGTCTGTTTAAACAATCTGATTAAACTGTTTAAATGTATCTTTATGTACTCAAAAAACAGATATAATGGATTTAATTACAAAAATAATGCCAACTTGTTTCACTCAACTGAATTGACTAAAGGTAAGACATTTACTTTATGTTTACTTTAAAGTAAATGTAAAGTACAGTAAATGTGTTACGTTTACTCAATGCAGTTGCGTAGGACCAGTTGGCATGTTTTTTTTTTTTTTACTAAATCCATTACATCTGTTTATTTTTTATGTATTCTGAATTAATGCCCATGACCCATACTCATTTAAATGACAGTTCAGCCATTTTAAAGTAGGGTTCTGTAATTTCTTTTTGGTATCAACAAAGTATTTAGAATCTGAATTTTGTTGAAAAGTTATGGAAGATGTATATCTTACTTATTGTACATAATTATTTGAATGAGCTGCGTTTGGATAAATCATTTAAAGTCCAGCTGGCCTGATGAACTAACAGCTAGTCTAAATATTTTATAAGAAATATTATAAACACAGTTGGGTCTCATAGGCAGGAGTTTCTTGCAGTGTGGGCGGAGTTTGTTCTAACCGTGATTGGCAGATGTTTTTGGTGTGGGCAGAGTTTGACAAAATTGTGGCCAGTTGGATTGACTAGTGTTGTGGGGGAAGTTGAAAGATGAAGTAATGGTAATAGTAAAGTTACTGTGATAATGTAAGTATAATTTATAAATTTTGTGCACCTTCCTGTCCTGAGTTATGACTAAAATTAATAATTATATTTAAAAATATAGGTTCTTGCTGACAGTTTTGACCAATTTCCCTGCTGCTGCCCAACAATTGAATCGTTATGACTTCTTCAAACCCAACCAAAATAGTCAATCCGACCAATCACATCTTTAACAATCTATGTCTACAACAGTCAAATGGACCAATCGTTTCTTGGACAAACTCCTCCCACCAAACAAGAAACTTCCAATGATTGCTGAGACCCTCTTCTCATCAGTTTTGCATTATATGGTTATTTATGTAGAAGTTAGTTCACTTCTGATGGGAATTTCATTATTTTTTTTACTGTACGACCTGTAATTATAAACTGACACTGATGTTTTATRAAAGGTTTTTATGAACAGCTAGAATGATTTTTTTTATTTTGAGTTGTTTTAAGACAGCAGTAATGCACTTCAGTCTCAGCTCGTCATTCTGCTCAGAATTAAACTCATCTTCTCCAAACTGAGTTTGTTTAACAAGCTGTCTACAACACATAAGTTATTTATAACATTACCGCAGAAGCCCACTTGAAAAATGGCTGAATGATGTCTTTAAAGTGAAGCTCTGTGAGGATTTATTCAGCTTACATCAGGCTAAAACTCAAACAAAGGACTTTGTGTTTGTCTTCCTCCTGCAGCAGTCCATCCTGGGGAGTATCAACTGCAAGTCTTCATCTCTGAAACAGTCCAATCAGGTGCAAAGCCGCTGTCACTCAAGACGGGTGAGTGTCTGTCACTGAAACACCTGGGTTACATTTGGGAAATCCTTATTGAAACTTTGCATCTGCACCACAAAATCATTACTTGTTTGACTGGATGATGGTTTTATCACAACCTTTTATCTACTTCCCCCTCTGTTATCTGTCTAACCTCTCTTTTATGTTTCTTTTCTACTATTCTATGAGTTTCTGCTTACACTCAGGGGTTATGGTTAGGACAAAGGTGTGAACTGAGTTTAGGTTAGTTTTAAGGTCACCTGTGAGGTTAGTTTTAGGGTAAATGGTCAGGGTTAGTTAGGCTATGAAATAACTAGGAAATGAATRGAAATCAATCCACAGTCCCACCGCTTATGTCACTGCCCAGCATCAAGTTCTGTCCTAATTCATAGGCTGCTTCTCATGCAGTTGAAAAATGAAGGCTGCATCTGTGTATCCTTCCTGGCCGAGGACATCCCTGCATCGTCAGCAAACTAACAGAAAATCAAAGACAGCAGAGGTTTTATTTATTTATTTTTTACCGTTATTGAAGTTTGGAAATTCATCACGGACTGAAGAATTTATTTTAAAGTTTTGTTTAGCAGAACATACTATTACTATACTTATAACGTTACTTATACATATACTGATACTGGAGCTAAACCCAGATTATTATTGTTTTTTATTTATTTACCTGTAACATTTTTAACTGAGGTTACTCTTCCAGTAACCTGGCCCTTGCCTTCCTACGCAGCTCCGCTCAATTCTAGTTTCCCCTCACTGCTCCGTCTGGGACTTCTCCCTTTAACAAGGATTTCGCTGGCAGATTTTTAGCCGGGCCAATCAGAGAACAGAATGTCGATTTTCTGCGCAGTGTCTGCTTGTAGTTTATTTTACCTGGGCCAATCAGAGAACAGAACSTCAATTTTCTGCGCAGTGTCTGCTTGTAGTTTATTTTACCTGGGCCAATCAGAGAACAGAAGGTGGAGTTATTGAACGACGTCAACTTTCTACGCAGTGTCTGCTAGTTATTTTAGCATACGGCAGTGGAAGAAGTGAATGAAGCCAGTCCATGT